AAAAAAATGAAAAAAAAAAAGTCTCAAAAAAAAAAAAAAAAAAAAAAAAAAAAATCAATGAAAAAAACCTACAAACAACCAAAGGAAACCCAAGCCATATTAATCACTCCCTTTAAATTCTCTAAGAAAAAAAAACAACACTGCAACAAGTTAGCCTCATACAAATATGAATTTTATTTACAATTTTCCAAATTCTCAGTCAAATCCAACTTCTCAGTTAAATGTGTAGCATTTCTCCTTTAAAACAAATTAAACACTGTTATTTTTACATCTGCAATATGAAGTCCATAGGTACATGCTATTTGGGGCATCTAATGGAACAAATTTAGATTGCTTAATGTTTGTGTATAACACGAAAGGCATACTAGGAAGACTCTTTCTTCAAAATGTACCTGTCTCAGGGACAAACATTTCCACAACTGCTTTCTAAGGACAGTTAGGAAGGTTTAAAACCCCAGTATTTTATAACAGGACATACTGTCCAAATAAATTTCAGGGTGTGTTATACCATGTTCATATTGCAGTTTCCTGCTCCATATGCAATGCCACTGAAATCAGACTAAAGATTACCCACAGATTTAGATATTATTCAATGTGAATAAAAATGGCCATTGATGACTTTTACTTGGGTATATGTAATTATGGGCCAATCTGTACCTGATCTGGTACCAGTGTGATGTGATCTGTTCTGAAACTTGAAACCACATGGGTCATTATAATAAAATCTTTTACAACTGTATTGCACATAAGTTCCTCAAAAGCACAAATCTACATAACCGTGTACTGAACTCAGAATTTACCTGCTAACTCTCCTGAATAAAATCAATCAGATGGTAAAATTGTTTCTTTTTCCCATCCCAGTGTCTATGAAAGAAGAGAAGAGGGAGAAGATATATACATGTTGGAATCCATTTGATTATTTGTTTCTTCTGCACGTGATTTGTACTTCAGAGATGAGGATTTTTAAAAAATAAAATAAAAAGCCAGACAGACCTTGGATTTATCTTTAAAAGTACCTCAAAAACATAACAAAAATTCAATTTAATTTTGATACATATTAAAACATTTTAGTCAGTTCTGCCCAACAGCATAACACGACAGAAAAGCACAAGACTTTAAACATGCTTTAAAATGACATTCAACAAAGTATTTAAAATTTAATAAATAGCATACAATCACACACAAATACATTTCATACTGGATCTTTAAGCCTACTAAAAACAGACTGGCAAAGAATAAATAAAACAGTAGTTGACATTTTTGTTTTTAAAAGGTATAGATTCTTGTCACGTTAGTAGCCACATATTAACCTGCTTATCAAAGAATTGGAAGTTATGAGCTTTTTTTCCCACTGATCTTTTTTTGCTCCAACATTTGCTTTTAAGTGTAGTATCATTAAAAAAAAACACACTGGAAGGGATTTTTTTTTTAAACTACCAGTCTGCAACCAAGTAAACCAGTTTTTAAATACTACGAATAAATAGGGAATTAGTAAAGCAAATTCAATTGCAACAAAAATGCAACACCCCAAGAAAAGAGCCATGGAAATATATAGCCATTGCAATATTAGACAATAATAGTACTTAAAGTGATAGTGCTTGTGCACTAAGCTCATTATAGACCTTAATATGATTTTAGTGCAAATCCCTTGAGTCCAAACAAGCTTTATACCCTAAAGGATTAGGGAAAGATCTATTACCAGTTGGAACTTACTCTGTAGTGTATTTGTACATATCAGATATGTAGAGAACTAACACATACTGTAATATCTTCGGCCCTTTTTAACTTCAAATCAAAAAGACTAATGACTGGGGATTTTACATACTATTTGGCTGTACCATATTAGATTGCAGTTTAGGAAAGCCAGTGCTATAAAAGCTTTTTCCATCGGTTCATCTATTATATCTAAATTTCACAAATCATTGCATTTTGTACTTCTGAAAGAAAAGAATGCTCCTGGAGAAAGTTTCTCCTCCCTTTAAATAAGTTCACATTATGATGAAATTCAAGAATATTTAGACAAAGAGTTGTATGAACTCAAAGAAAAGTACATATTTAACATTAACAATCCTTACCAGCATTTAGCATATTAACTTACAAGTATGTTGGCAATAATACAAGAGTCAATTCCTAAAGGAAAATATATCTGTACAAATTCACCTGTTAATATGGGGTTAAACAGGCAGCCAAGGTAGTCTTGAGCAGCCACGTTTTCTGTTTGAACTACAGTACCAGGATAAACTAAATTTGAAACTAACTGGGATAACTTCAGTTTAAGCAGTAATCAGATTATACTGGATACACACATTGTGTATTCAGAGCCATTAAAATGTTCACTCTAATAGTTCTGCAACGTCATCCAGTATAAGAAGTGTTTCATTAACCACACAGGCTAAAATAGTTTTCACATAATGTTGTCCTGGATTTTTTAAAACTAAAAGCTAATTTTAATTGTGAAGTACAAAACAATGACAGATATTGCTCCAACTTGTACACAATCTTTCCTAAACAATCCGTACCTAGCAGAGTAATAATGCCTCATCGTCACTAGTTTCATTTTTCACTGTTGCCTCTAAGCAAGTGTCAGGTATCTGGGCAGTGTGTACGATGCCACAGCTCTCACAGGGGCCATCTCGACTGCATGACCTCACACCGTGATGTGTCGCACTGTAAGGCTGTCTAAGCCCTGGTCCTTGATCTGAGCTGAGATCAAGTAGAGGTCTTGAACAGTCATTCATGTCAAAGTCTGATGCTACATCAGAGACTGGAATTAGCATTTCAACATCATCATCCTCTTCTCTTACCCCATTATCAAGCTGTCTCAAAGGACTTTGGTTCTGATTGACTGAACTTGATCTCCCTAAAGTAAAGCGTACCCAGCGTAAGCCTTGAGTCATACGACTTAGCGCACTGGAGAGCTGGTGACGTGCGGGACTTGTGCTTGGGGGCTCCATACTTGTCGCTTCCCTTCCACCATCTGTGTTACTGCTACTGCCACTCTGAGCAGAGGAACTCCCACATGCTCCAACTGTTGCTTCTATTGCTGTTGTAGGAGGTACTTTCTGAGGCAAGGTGGCAGCAACACCACCAACTGCTCCTGCTGTGTCTCTTCTTTCATTTTCTGTGTCTGTATCATCAGATTCAACTGAAAAGAGACTTCTGTGAGTATTATTTCTTTCAGCTTCTCTACTAGTACTTTGGCTGGCAACATCATCTCCATCTGCTGAGACCAATGCCAGTGATCCAGAATGACGTGACCTTGCAAAATTAAAAATTCTATTCCAAATGTTACTTGATCTGCCAGCAATAGGAAGTCTGATTGAGGTAAATCCCAGCTGAGATCGTACTGCCAGTCTCAGGTTTTCCAGAACTGAAGCCTAAATGAGAAGACAAGCAACAATTAAGCCATGACAGTACACTGGCACTGTTCTAATAAAAGAAGAACAACAGCTATTGTGCAAACAGCATCTAACCATGAAGTTAAATGTAGAGTCCTAAGTACTAAAAAAATGTTGTATCTTTAACTTTAAGGATCTGGTGTATGTAGCAACAGGCTATTTAAAAAACAAAGCAGGCATGAAAGAATCACAAAATGTTTGGAGTTGGAAGGGACCTCAAAGATCATCAAGCTCCAACTCCCATGCATGGGCAGGGACACCTCCCACTAGAACAGGCTGCTCAGAGCCCCATCCAACCTTCCCTTGAACACTTCCAGGGATGGAGCCCCCACAGTATCTCTGGGCAGCCAGTGTCTCACCACCCTTACACTGAAGAATTTTTGCCTCATCTCTAATCTAAATCTCTCTTCTTTCAGTTTAAAAACATTACCCCTTGTCCTGTCACTGCAAGCCCCTGTAAAAAGACTGTCCCCAGCTTTCCCGTAGCCCCCTTCAGGTACTGGGAGGCCATTATGAGGTCCCCCCTGGAGCCTTCTCTTCTTCAGGCTGAACAACCCCAACTGTCCCAGCCTGTCCTCATAAAAGAGGTCCTCGGATAATTTTTGTGGCCCTTCTTTGGACACGCTCCAACAGGTCCACAACTTTCTGGTGCTGGGAGCACCAGAGCTGGACGCAGTGTTCTAGGTGAGGTCTCACCAGGGCAGAGTAGAGGGGTAGACTCACTCCTCTCGATCTGCTGGCCACACTTCTTTTGATACAGGCCAGGATGGAGCTGGCCTTCTGGGCTGCAACTGCACATTGGTGGCTCATGTCCAGCTTTTGGTCCACTAGTACACCCAGGTGCTTTTCCACAGGGCTGCTCTCAAGTGTAACCTCCTCCAGCCTGTATTCATATTTGGGTAACCTCAGCTCAAATGCAGGACTCTGCACTTGGCCTTGTTGAACCTCATGAATGCAATGTTGAACCAAGAATGCATCCCCTTGGGTAGGACTGTCAATTTCCTAACTGAAGTAGTTGTCATCAAGGCATTCCAGGAGTCTCCTGGATTGCCTACAACTTGCCGTGTTACTTTTCCAACAGATGTTGGGATGGTTAAAATCCCCCAGCAGGATAAGAGCCTGTGATCGCGATGTTTCCTCAAGCTGGAGTGAACAGGTTTCATTGATAGGCGCCACTTGATTGGGTGGCCTGTGACAGAATCCAACCACTAGGCTCCCTTTGGTGTTTCAATCTCTAATTCCCACCCATAAACTTTCAACTTGCTCATGGCTATTTTTTAGGGACAACTCTAGAAATCTAGATTCTCTTTAAAAAACATTGTGAACAGGGAAGTTAAGAGGACATACGTATGGAAGGAGAATAAAAGCAATGAAGTATAGAAGGTATATTTTTTCCCAAATCATGGACCTCTAATTAAAGGCAAAGTGAAAACCACCCTGCTCTGTAACCTGGATATGGAACACAGATTACAGAAAAATACATTCACAGACCCAGTGCATACCCAGTACAGCAGGTACGCAAGATCTACTACATGCAATCTTACCAAGAAGATAAAGTAGTCACTGTGGCTTTCAGACTACAGTACATAGAAACATGCCTCAAAAAGTTCAGGATTTAAAAATTAAATCTTCCAGAAACATTTAACAGAGGTGACCTTTCCTTATCCACTATCATGGGGCTGCCTAGAATAGAGACTAAATTAAGTATCCTCTCCAGCAGATGCCTGTAGTTTTATTTTTTTTCCCATTCTGGCATTATCAGTTAATTCCAGTTTCAAAAAGCTTTAATGCTTCTGTTTAATTAACATTATCTTATGTGTTCTAAACCATAGATTTCCCAAATTCGGTATATGTTTTCTAGTCATTCAGCTGTAGAACAATGCATGCCTGAAATTTTCTGAGTAAAACCTCTTGTAACAACTGTGACTTGGGGGTCCCTTACTGTGCCACAGCTAAGTTGCTCAATCCTCAAGTATCAGGGCATAAGACCTGCCCTATTCACAGATGTGCTTATTTACAGGATAAATTCCATATTTGCATCTTTTAATGACAATTATGACAAAAATACAGAATGTTCTCCAGAAGAGCCTTTTTTTCCCCCCAATTAAACAATTAACATATATGCATATATTTAACTTTATTTACATACACTGAACTTCAGTGTTCTCACGCTGTCAACTTAAGTTCCCTTCCACAGTTCTTCATACACCACAGCGCATACACATCATGGTACCCAAACAATATTTGATGCACAACTTACCTCTTCCCTTCCAATAGCTTACAGAACGATATTTGAATTAAAGCATAGAAATACTTACATTCAGTAGCCCTACTTTCAAAAGCAACTGGAAATACTGCAACCCACCCTTGAAAATGCACTTCTGAAGGAATGTATTGGTTTTAAGTGGAAAACATACAAACCAGAACAACCCAGGATTAATTTCTCTACTGAAAGGATTGTCAGGCACTGGAACAGGCTGCTTAGGGAAGTGGTTAAGTCACCCTCCCTGGAGGTATTTAGAAGATATAGAGATGTGGTGCTTAGGGACATAGTTTAGTGGTGGACCTGGCAGTGCTGGTAGGTTCATGGTTGGATTTGATGATCTTAAAGGTCTTTTCCACCCAACTTGATTCTATGATTCTACTAACTACGGAAATCTCGACTAGTTATCTTTAGTCTTACACAGACTTGCAATCTTAAGATATATATATACTACGCAAAACAAAGAAAGCTGTACACATCCTGACTTAATACTGACTCCCTCGTGCCAACACTTAAACATATTAAAAATTTTGAGTTTTGTAGTTTTTAGAATACAATTTACATTATCTCTGAAGCTTTTACTCTGGCTGATGTTCTCTCATCTGAAAAAAAGTTTTTTAAACAATGCAACTTCATTCATTAAATAAGAGTAGAAATCTTTACCATGGAATGACAGCATGTGTGAACATGTATGCCTGAAAGAGTAAGTGAAATCTATGGCTGAATAAGAGTCATCAAATCAGTTCTGTTCAAAATGAAAAAAAACCACAATTCCCTTTCTTATGGTCCTGTAATTGTTCTTCCTACAAGGCTCAGCAATATTAGCTACCTGTAAACTTTGCTGTACTAACTGCAACACATAACACAAGATAATGCCAACTCTACTGCAGCACAGCAGGATTCTTAGACTGAGATTTTTTTTTCTATTTCACAAAAGAACAATATTAACAAAAAAGCCATTTTCTAAAAATTGAAAAGGCTGTTTTGATAGCAATGCATTCATTAACCAAATAAGAATTGTGCTAACAATCCATCAGAGAATCATGATGGCTAGACACATATTATCTACTAGCTTTTACTTTGTTACTCATTCCTGTTAATTTTACATATTACAGCCTTGCCTTTGCCATCATCTTTTTAATGCATACTGGGCATCATCATACCTAAACACATGAGCACAGTGGGTATGAATTACCATTTTGCATTAGAAATCTCCAATCTTCTTTCCAGAATTTCAGAGTCCTGGCTTGCAATCTTAACTTATACAAAAATACCAACATAGAACATACAACTAGATCTACCAATCTATTACCTTTCATGCAAGAGGGATTCTATAGTGTGCATTACTGGCATTAATTAACAAGAAAAAAGCCTGCAAATAAAACTGTGGTGCTACCATATTATGATTTTATCCAACAGCCAATTCTTAGCATAATAGTATTCACCTGAAAGGAAGAAAATGAAATGCTATAGAACAAGTAAAATGTCTTTATTTTGGTCTCCTTACAATTTGATTAGTATGCCAGCAATTTTGGAATCTTACCTGATTTGGTGAACAAACAGGAAAATCTTCAACTGGTGGAATTAAACCTTGAGCAATTAACTGTCCATATGATGGAGGAGCTTCTCTTCTTAACAGTTCAGCCTCAACCCTTGACAAATGAGTTTCAAAAGATCTTTCAAAGAGAAAAGAAATTTCATAATACATAAGACTATGATGTACATATGTATTTTAAACTACATCAGATTATTATAATCTGAAATAACACATTTCAGCAGATTAAGTTTTATTAATTTCATTGAAGTTTTGTTGACAAGGAATATAAAATAAGTCCTTGCAGTCTCTCTCCCATGGGTCTATCCACCTGAGACAAGAACAACAAAATCAACCCAACAATAAATTCCTAAAAAAAATAAAAGCACGGCCTAAATATAAAAGGCACCATGAAGGTTATTATATTACTTTAGAAAAATAGAAGAACATGCAATCCCAGTATGAGATAAGTCTACAATAGGATAAACATGCTGTTAAATTCAGAATTGAGATATTTAATTGCGCAAATGCAGCTTCTCCACTCTCTTTTTTTGGTAACATCTGAAAGATTAACTGTCAATAATTAAGTCATCAGAATATTTCTATTCCCTTTTAACTAACCCCTTTTTACTGACAAAGAAGGAACAATGTCTTTAGAAGTTATATGCAACAATAATTGTATGTCAATAAAAATGCTTCAAGTATAACAATAAAAGATATGCAAATACTTAAAAAAATTAAGTTCTCGAGGCCATGTGTTCTACTTACCTTCGCTCAAACATCCTGAGTGAGTACAATTTACAAGTACATCCCAGTGCAATGACGAGCAGCAATCCACAAATAAGACTCCCAATGACAGCTGCAGTTATTACTCTAGTGGGTACAATGACTGGGCAATTCTCTTCATCACTGCCATCACCACAGTCATCTTGAGAATCACAAACCCAGCTCTCAAACACGCAGCGGTTATTTTTACAATGAAAATTTCCTGGCTGACAGAAGAAACAATTTTTTTCATCTGAACCATTGGGGCAATGATTCTGGTAGTTGCAGCGATCTGAACGGGGGTAGCAAACTCCATTTCGAGAGCAGGGAAATTCATCTCTTTGGCACATGGTGCAGTTGGTTTCATCCCTTCCATTTGGACAGTGCCAGTAGCCATCGCAGCGTTGCTGCTCTGTGTAGCAACCCCAGTTTCCACCACAAGGGATTTCCCAGGGCAAACAGAAGCCATCTACTTGATAGGTGGCATTGAATCCTCTTGCAGCATTCACTTTGTCAGCACAAAAATGCACTCTTATCTGTCCTGAGGATGAAACAACTGTGAGGGGAGCATGAGAGTCAAATGCTGTTAGCACACGCAACAACCTCTGTGGATTCTCCTCTAATCCGTCATATATTTTGACATAGTCTCCAAAGCCTGTACCATCAAGTTTAAAATCAGTGAATCGCAGAATTACTTTGCGATGGTCACCAGTGTCTATCAGCCAGGTGCAGTTGCTGCCAGGTGGATAAAAGTCAGGATAGTTGGGAGAACTGAAAGTACCGTAAAAGTATTTTAACCACTGCCCACACGTTGGCACTTCACAGTCTATTTCGTCTACTAGGTCAAGACAATCAATGTTCCCATCACATTTTGAAGATTCTGGAAGGCAAGTGTAAAGCTTGGTGAAGCGAGAAAGACACTGGAACTGATTGTAAGCACAAGTTTGAAGGGTAGAAGCTGATGGAGGACTAGCTTTGGCACAGATTTCTTCATCCGAGTTGTCTCCACATTCATCCATATTATTACATTTCCAGCTTTCTGGAATGCACTTCCCATTAGCACAATGAAACTGGTCACAATCACAGTTTGGTTCATCAGATTTCCCTGGAAAGAAAAAAAGAGAAAAATATTCTCTTTTTTAGAATTTAGGACTTCATGGTTTGCCATGTATTTCTTTCCCACACCATGTAGCTCAGAATGGCAAAACAACTATTTAAAGCCGCTGCAAACCATCACAACTTTCAGTAAGTTTCAAGAAAAAAACGTTTTTCAAGTCAACATTCTGTCAGCACATCAGCATGAGCCTCATTATTAACTGATTTCAGTTAAATAACCCAAGCAAGAAAACAATGCTCGTTTACAGTGATTGAAAAATCTGACTTCTAAGGTACTAGAAACAACTCAGAAAAATACCGCCCTCTCCTGTATCACTCAAAATACAGCAACATTTTGTCTTGCAGTACCATTTACCTCTTTAAATACTTTCTTGTAGCAGTCACACACTCTCCTGTTCCTGTAGGCTCCTACTTTTTACCAAAGGACCTATGGCAAGAGAGAAGCTGGCAGCTGAAGATTAGCTATTGCCACAAAACAAAAAGAAACCCCTGTCCTCACCTCTTCCCACTACTCCTGCCTCTCTTCTAGCAACGAAGAGTGTGCAGCAAAAGCAGAAACAGAAGCTTGCCTGAAACACAAACTTATCCTTTTCAAGTGAAGGATTCAAGTAGTGGTTCAGAAAACATGGAAGTGTGGGGGCTTTTTGTTTATTTTTCTGGTTTGGGTTGGTTGGGTTTTTTGATTTCTTGGGAAAAAAAGAGACACCTTTATTTAAGAAAATGTGGTCACTTGCAACATCAAGAATATTTCTGTCAGGGCTCCTTTTATTAAATTTCCAACCATGTTAAACACAGAAGCATAGCTGGGAAGCAAGCTGTTTCAGCTCTGCAACAACAGCTGAGTGAAAGAACGCTGTATCATTTAAAATCACTGCAATTTCTAAAAACCACGGTATAGACTGTAAAACTGGCTATAAAACAAACTGCTGTGGTCAATCCTCCATAACAAAACAAAACAAAACAAAGCAAAACAAAACTAAACAATCTGCAATGTGGATGATCCTACACAGCAGTCATTCAGGAAATAAATTATATACTAAATCTAAATTACACTATATGTAGGTTTAAAAAAAAAAGAAACAGGCAAGACATCACAAGGAACTTACTGAAATACAGACTCTCCCAGAAGGTTCTGACTTGCTTTACAGTAGAACAAATTCAGATTGGAAGGGATCTCTGGAGGTCAGCTAATCATATAATCTGCTCAAAGCAAGGCTAACCGACATGTGATTGTGTTGTTCAGGGCCTTGTTCAATCAAGTATTTTTAAAGTGACCACAAAAAGTGATAGAAGTCCTCAAATTTATTCTGCATTTCCTCGTATCTAGTCTGCAACTAATCTGCTGTGATAGGTCAAGTCATATCACAGCTCTGTTTTCCTTTTTGCTGTTTTAGTATCTAAGAAAGCAGTATAAAGAAACACTCCACCTTGAAATAATCAGTTTTTTTATAAAAAGATGCAATAGTGTTTGAAAAATTTCACAACTGCTAAGGCTTTTTAAAAAATTAATTCAATAAAAACATGAAACCACTAAAAGTGAAATGTTTTAAGTACTGCTGAAGAGTGCTTAAGTCAATAAATTCACTGACAGAAAGTAAAAGGACAGCAAAAGAAAAGTGCTGCCAGTGATTACACTTGAGAAAATGTTTATTTCATTAAAAAAGAGACCAATAACAAATCTAGTTTACATAATACAATCTCCTTCTTCTGTTACTGACACACACCTCTTGACTTTGAAACTTGGAAAAGTGAACTGCTAGACTTGTCCTGCCTAAATTGAATGATGGTGTGCCATAGGTGGAGGGGCAATATATTAGAATGTGCTTAAGAAGAGTACAGGTTATACTGTAGCTCAATGCTTCCACCTTGCAGAACCTGGAAAATTGTTGAGCAGAAAGATACAGTAAGGACCTGTAAATATTAATGGCAATACTGTAGCAACAAAATAGAACACAATTTCAACCTAAACTCTTCCTTCTGCAGACTTTTAAACATGTCAGAAAAAAGCTGCTTACTTGATGATCCTCATTTAGTATTTTGAGAAGAAATCAAAAAACACCATGGCACAGCTGTATGTATGGAAAAAATGTTAGTATTTCAGGAGTCTCCTACTTCACATTGGGAAACAGGAATGATTGGATAATCATTAAAGCAGATTTGTCAACTTTTCTCTTATACACAGGTCAGTTTACAACATTAGATCACTTTGATCACTGAAACATTACACAACCACTCAATCATGGAATAAGCTCAAACCAAAGTTTCAACAACATTAAAAAACAAAGAAACAAAAAAACAAACAACAAAAATAAAACCAAAACAAATATACAAAAAACACCCCAACAACAACAAAAAACAACTCAAAAAAACCCTACCATAACACAAATAAAAGACATTTTAAAACATTAACATCCTAAGTACTCTAACCAGAGTACTACTGCGTAATACTAACAGGAACAGATAATGTAACAGAAAACATTGCTTATTCTTTGAAAACGTTACAGATCTTTCCAAATGGGATTACAGACTGAAACTGTTTCAAGATCAGAGGAAAAGAGAGGGATGGACTTTCAGAAAACTCTACTAGTGCCTGACGCTTGCCTCCTCTGCCCATTCCACACCCTTACTTCAAACATCCTTCTCAAAGTTACTTGGGCAGGAACGGTACCCTCTCTCTTGCCTGCCATGACATGGAGGCCTCACATGGGTTAACATGGGGCTGTTAGCAGAAACAGGAGCAGAAGATGACCAATGAGACATTGGCTTTTTTTCCCCCCGATCATGTGTTTTTTTGTGAGATAGCAGTAAGCAAAACCCAAGTAGAACATCGCCCTGAATGCTGAGCCAGCATCAAATGCAAGGCTGCATTACTTCTGCCAAGATCTGCTAAACTGCAAAAAGCCAAAGTATAGAGGGAACTATTTTGTAGGCTTGAAAACAGGCCATAGAAAACTATAAACCCTCATGGAAACTTCAGGTTTGTGAAGGAGCTCTGACATGGTGGAAGAATTTGTTAGGCAGAAAGAGCACAGAATACAGAAGAGGGGTAGGCATGGCTTAGGACAGAGGAGATCAAGGCTCATTTTAATGCCTACTAGTGGAACAGGTTTGAAGATGGGTGGCAGTGGGTAGGGGTAAAAGAGTATGAATTGTTTTATGGAAGAAAGGAGTTAAAACCTAGTGCACAGAGATCTGGAGCAGGCCAGAGAGTGGAATATAGGTATACACTGAGGAAGCAAGAGAACACTAAACCATTATGAAAACAAAAAAAAAAATCTATTTGAGGGGTTTTTTTATCATCAGGACATGGCAAACCATTATTATGCTACTATATATAATTCTATGACTGCTTAAAGCTAATAAAAGGTTTGGAACAAGACTTTACTCATTACTGTCTTCCTCGTTTCTTTTGGCTACTAGAGTAAGAACTGCCCATAAACCAGTCTCAAACTATTACTACTGGTAACTAGGGGATTAAAATAATCTATACAACGTAAACTTTCAATAAGCTTTGAATCAATGCCAGGAAATGCATATACTGTAGCCTGCTACAAGAAAGTAGTTCTTGAAACAAAAAACAAAAAATGAAACCATAAAACTGAACTAGTTTTGAAATTAAACTGAAAATTTGAAACATACCAGCAAAGTAGGCTAATCTGAAGCCTTTCCTGGAGATCCTATCATCTGAATGAAATCTGATCCAAACATGATCCTGTGAAGAGATGTATGGTGAAGGGATGGAGGAGCCACATGCTCTATAGCCTTCAATATTCTTGTAGCTTCCAATTGTTAACCAATCTGAGCTGCATCGTCGGGATCCCTCAACATCAAAATCTTGAAAGCTGAGGGAGGGAAGACAAAAAGAGGTCAGAATTGCTACTGAACTGGATATTATACAACCAAGCTGATGAATTGCTACACACATAAATGGAAATTAGCTGTAAGCTCTTTTCTGGTTGGAAATAAAAAGAATGGCTTCTCTACCCATGTAAGAATAGCATTTAACCTTGTTGTGATGATACTTTTGTGTTATGAGGACATCATTAATCCATTCTGTCAAACAGAACATTGCATCCACTACTTAAAGCAGCTCAGTTTTGCTATAAAAAACACACTAAGTCTTCATCTAAAAAATAAAATAAAGTAATTCTGTTCATGCAATTGTCTTTATGAGTCTCATTTAATGATGTTCATATACTAGTAAGTCACTTTAGTTAACCCAAATGTTATAAAAAAATTAGCTAATGCTACACTTAAGACAGTGATCCAACTTTCATAGAATCATAGAATCCTAGGGGTTGGAAGGGACCTCAAAAGATCATCTAGTCCAACCCTCCCTGCCAGAGCAGGGTCACCTAGAGTACATCACATAGGAACGCATCCAGGTGGGTTTTGAATGTCTCCAGTGAAGGAGACTCCACAGCCTCCCTGGGCAACCTGTTCCAGTGCTCTGTCACTCTTACAGTAAAAAAATATTTTTGGATATTCACCTTGAACCTCCTATGCTCCAATTTGCACCCATTACCCCCTGTCCTATCACTGGTCATCACTGAGAAAAGCCTAACTCCATCTCCCTGACACTCACCCCTTACATATTTGTAAACATTGATGAGGTCACCCCTCAGTCTCCTTTTCTCCAAGCTAAAGAGACCCAGCTCTCTTAGCCTTTCCTCATAAGGGAGATGTTTCACTCCCTTAATCATCTTTGTAGCTCTGCGCTGGACTCTTTCAAGTAGTTAACTTTATACATATACTTTATACATATACATATACTTTAACATTATAAATGCAGCTAAATTGTTCAAAACTATGATTTCAGGTAAGATTTGCTGCCAGTTGCACTACTCTGTTACCCATTAGGTGTGTCATGGAATGTCATGCTACAACTGCAGCTGTACCAAGACATGCTGTCATGGTAAGGAAGTGTGAAGGGGAGACAGTCTGGGCAGAACAGGCCAGTACAGACACCACAGTAGTGAACTGGAAATAACATGTGGAACGTATGCTGAGTAGATGAGTGGAAGAAAACAATGTGAGAGAAAAAGATTTGTTTTATGAAAAATAAACAGTACAAAAAAGTTTAGAAAGCATTCTAGTAGATGAACAGCTCAGTTCTACCTACTTCAGATTGCATTTATGTCAGTTTAGCATTTAGTAGAAAGATTGCTGGAATGAAAAAGCAGTACTTAAAAAAAGTAACTGATGTCAAAGCAGATACTTCATAGTAAAGAGCTGATTTTTAGTTCAGCAGGTCTGCACTGGAAACGAAGTAAATCTGCAGCTAAAGCAGTTTCAGAATCAGCCTGTGAAGCAATACTAATTTGCATCTTGATGCTAAAACAAGCCTAGATTTCCCTTGTGGCAGTAATGGGGAATGAACTGATGAGAGCTTGAACCTAAGATACAACTTATTTACGTTACATCTTTAGAAAAGTTACAAGGAATGTGAAACTGTGAGGAGCTCCCTGCACCAAAAGTCAGTTATTTCCAAAACTGAAATCTGATCTATTGATTTATTAATTATACCCTGTAACTTTTACCAACATCATGAGAATTCCTAGCAATGAAGCATGACAGAATTTCCTCTATACCTTTTTAATGCAAAATTCTTGTACTTCAGAAACATTAAAGAAATAAATGAGCAGATAGAAACTTCTTCTAGTCACCAATGCACCAGCTGAAAACAAATGCTACATGGTTGTCTAAGAGCAATTCAGATAAAAGGAGAGACAGAAAATAAGATAAAACAGAAATTCTTCTGTTCTGGTTTGGTTTGGTGGGTTTTTTAGTAGTGGGGGTAGGGCCCCAGGAGTGGCTCAGGTAAGAAGCTGAGAAGCTCCCCCTGCTCCAAAACCAGCCAAGGAGCCATTAGAGGGGCAATAGATTCACCTCAGCGATTAACATACAAAAGAACCGATGTAACACCTCAGCAGAGAACGAGGGGGAGAACGGTGCTGGTGGTTGATGAGGAAGAAGGGGAAGACGGTGCCCAAGCAGAAGTTTCCCTGCAACCCATGGTGAGATGGCAGCTGTCCTCCTGCACTCATGGGGGAACATGGTGGAACATTCCCTGAAGGCACCAGGAGGGGCGAACGTGGCCAGTGGAGCTGGATTTTGTGGACAGTGGATTCGCTGCCAGTGGACTCTGATTACAGAGCTTTCAAAGACCCCGGTGCCACAGGAGTTTGTTCCCAGAGCACCCTGTGACTCTGTGAGAAGCCCACACTGGAGCAGCTTGTTCCAGACTTCATGGGAAAGACTCGTGGAGGAGAGGTTCATGGAGGACTCTTTCCTATGCGAGGGACCCCATGGGGAAGCAGGGAAGGACTGTAAGGAATCCTTCTTCCTGAGGAGGATGGTACGGCAAGAACCACCAGCCTGTGAACTGACTCTAAGCCCTATCCCCTGTCCTCCTGTGCCACTTGGGAGGAAGGAAGGAGAGAAACTGGGAACAAAGTGATTTGGGCCCAGGAAGAAGGGAAGCGTGGGGTAACATATATAAGCACTGCTCTTTGTGTTGTCTGTGTCATGTGTGCGTTTGATTATTGTGAAATTAAATTATTATTTTTTCCCCAAGTTGAGTCTGTTTTGCCTGGGACCTTAATTGGTGAAGAACCCTCCTTGTCCTTTGTCTCAACCCATGAGCTTTGTCCTCCTCATCCTAGAGCGGGGGGGGGGGGGAAGGTTGAGTGAGCGACCATGGGGCTGTTCCTTTGTTGTCATGTTGGGCCCAAAGCACAACATTATTGGTGAGCCAGGCAGGAGAGAGACAAGAGACCATGACACCTACGTTTACAGGAAGGAAGAGGAAATGAGTACATAAAAAATTGACTGTCGTAAATGTCTAATCAGTACTGCTTCAATCCATGTGGTTAATACAGATTAACTCTTACCTTATAGTAATGATCTCCCCGGGGTTTGCATGGATGTACCAGCTACAGTTGATTCGGGCAGGATACTCAGACGGCCATCCTGGACTTGTGATTGTCCCGCTTGGTGATCGAATTTGTTCTGGAATATCTCCACAAGCTAAAAAATACATATATATTGCAAGTAACCTAATTAATGTAATTATTTTTTAAAAGCGAGCAGGACAAAAAACAGTCAACACTTACCAGGGAAAATATCACACTGAGTTAGATGAGGCAGCAATAAAAACACTATCTAAAGGAATTCGTAATGGACTCAGTTCACAACATGTCAGCCAAAAGATGCTTCCCAATGTTGCCAGTGCAGAAGTTCATACTAACATCAGTTAGTACTACAGACTGAATATGATTATTCTACAGACTTTGACAACTTCATCAGTAATGTAAAAGATTTTGTATTTCCTTTATTTTTAACCCTTCAAAAAGACCTAGTTCAATTTAACTATGCATTTCACCTTATATTGAAAAATGCATTAGGAAGTGAGAAATAAATTAAAACAAAACAATCAAGTAGTTAAAATTTCCCATCTTAAGAAGAGCCAGTGCCTGGTCATAATTTAAATACCACCTTCCAACCCTTAGCATATAAATTGTTTTCATATACACTATTCCAATGGTTGGAAGGCAAAGAGTACTTGCTGGAGCACACTTCATTTATAGATATTAAAAGTTAGGTTTACAAGAGACTATTCATAAGAGAGACCTGAGCAAATACATTACTGATAAAAGACTAGAAAGCATTCTTACATTATAAGTGTAGCATTCTGTATTGGCCTTAACTCAGTTGTTCGTTTGTTTCACTGGAGTGTTCCCAGCTCTGCTATTTTATTTCAAGTACTGTATTTATTAGTTCTGTGGTTTTGTTTCACTGTTGTTTCCCCCACAGCAGCCTTATATCCAGCACCTGTCATACATCAACAACCTCAACATAACTAAGAAGGCCAGGATACTCTTGCTACAGAGCCTGAAATTATAAGGAAGTTTCAGAAGTCAGGAAACACATTAAAAATAATTGCCCTCTGTGCCTTTATTTTACAATTACCTCACTGCTAGACCAACTTGTGGATTCTTGAAGTTTACTGGTACTACACTCAGTTACACACAGCAATTTAAACACAAGATCTAATACAAATTTTCATTGTTGTCTAATGATCAAAAGCAGTTAGAACTTCTCAAATTTGGAGTATGTATTTGATTGAATTCTCTGTATTAGCTTAAATACAAAAATTTAGGAAAAAAAACCCCAACAACTCAGTAAATCTATGGTTTTTACATGAAGCTAAAATAAAATTTTGCTTTAAATAGTTCTTCACGTTTCTTATTAGAGCTTCATTCACGATGGACAGTTAAGTGTTAACATATTTGTCTGTGTAACACAGGACTCGTCCTAATGTCTAGGGAGGAAAACATCTTAAGATACAGAAAAACAGAATTGTATTTGAATATTCAATCAACTACTCCCTGGAAATTTCCTTGTTTTAATTTTGAACAAACCCTATAGGTGGTGCTCTAACACCATGATACTTTGGAACTACTTCTGTATGAATGCTCTGGATATACTTTACATTTGTTCAGGCAAGAAAAGGAAAGGATGGAAAGAAAAACTGTTTATTTGCAATGAAATGTTAAAGCAAAATAGCATTTTAAACAGGCATGGAAAAAAACACATGCAAAAAAAGTAGATGTAAAAGAAATGTCACAAACTTGCAGATATTGGCAAGAAATTCCCAGCACTACTTGGTTACAACTGAAACAGTGTTCAGCTTAAAGTAAGTTACCTTCAGGTGAAATTCATGATGTGACGAAATTCATCTGGTTTTAGATGTTTACAAACTGACACATGAGATTTTGTCACTGAGAACTTCTGAGGAAGCTTTTAAATATGTCTGACAAAGAATAACTTTACACTAGAAGTTAAAAGTGCTCCATTAAACATACATTAATGAAATTTTGCAAAGTTCACCTCCAAAAACTTAAGCACGCTACAAATACATGTACAGCATGTGTCTGTTGAATAGGAACCTCCAAACACTGCTAGTAACTGTAAATTGCTATGCAATTAGCTTTGCAACTTACTATGCTGGCACCGCACTTGTTTCACAAGTTTTCATGGAAGAAATTCCATATAGAAAGCCTGTATAACCAATGCAGTATTTTCAGAGCACCCTGAAAACTTCCTCTTGTACTCAAATTGAGGTTTTTTTTGTTGTCTTGTTTTTTTGGGGTTTTTAGGGTTTTTTTGTTTGGTCGGTTGGTTTGGTTTCTTTCCCAGTACCAGCCATATTTTCTATATTGTTCTTTGTAATATGGCTTTTTTCCATTTCCACTAAACCTAATACTAAAGAGCAAAAGGCAAAATATGGCCATTTCTAGCACCATCCAACACGGGAGGAAAGAAGATGACAATGGAGGGCATTAGGAATCAGAGGCACTAAAATACAGGGTGGAGTGAATAAAACAGTACTAATCTAATTGAAAAAAGTGTGCATATGACAAAATGGTTCAAACATAAAAGAAGATGGTCTTTTCACTAAATTATGGAGAATTTTCACTTCTAATTTGCTTGTGGCCCTAGAAGCATTTGTCACAAAGGTCAGTTATTTCTACAGAAAATTAAAATTGCAGAATTACAGAAAACTGCAAAATGAAAATTAGAAGAGTAAGAAAAAAGGAGACAAGTTTATAAACGAGGCAGAAGCACAAAACAAATTGAGAAGGTTGCACAGAGAAGCAAAGACACATAATGATGCATGCTTAAGATGTTCTCAAATGTTACATAGGTGGCTGTAAGATTTTCGGGTGGGAATAACTCCCTGCACAACCATTTCTGCATGGGTGTTGTAGCTGCCTACACTCCTCTCAGTTCGCCTGTGTTCTTTGGTACAATTCTGCTCATCCATTTCCTACCAGTTTTAAATTCTCTCCTTTGTGAGCCTTTATTACTAATCTATTTGCTATTCTGTTTGTAAACTTATTATAACTTTGTATTAAGTAGATTGCAACACTGTAATTAGGACTGAAGATGTTCCACTGAAGTGACTGAAGTGCAAAATAATGGTCAAAAAACCTGCTGAGCGGATAAGCTCTGCACATGATTTTCTGCAGTATATGTATTCTCTTGTCAACTTTTTAAAAACACATACAACAATTTTCCATATTTCCTTCCTGAAATTTATTCACTGCCTTACATTACAGAACATGACCGTAAACTACCTACAGAAGAAGAAGAGAGCCAATGGAAACTCCATAGCACCAACTTAAAGAGTTTTAACAAGAGAATTAAGAAGCCTATGCAAAAATTCTGTAGAAAGACCTAGAGAACTAAAGTACCTGTAGTAACAGTGAACAACATGTCAAGGAAAAAAGTCACTTCAGAAAAGCAGGGAGAGGGAGATTAGGGATTTATCTTCACAGTAATGCCAGGAGATTAGTTGAAAAGATAAAAGAATTAGCTTTCAATGTGAACTACAAGATGATAAGGTATGCATTATATTGGACATGGTAAGGACATGAATGCAGCTGGATAAATGATCTGAAGGTGTTTAAACAGCTTAGAGTAAAAAGAGAATAATGTTGTGATTAAGTCGAAACCATGAATAGGGAGGATAATTATTGCATTTGTAACTCTCAGGAACCACTCAAAGTCCTATTTGGAGAACTACAGAGAAAGAAGGCACAGGAATCTTTGCCTCCAGGTCAAGGTGCAAAGCTTTATTTTAAAATGCCCTTTGCTCTGCAATACAGAGGCAGACTAAGTAAAAAGGAATATATTTTTTTAAATTGTTTTCACCACTTGTTTTCAAGTGTTTTCACCACTGACAAAGTTCATTAAAATGGGAGTGGGGGGAAAGGGTGGTAGAGGTTGTTTTTGCACGTGACAATTACGCCGCAACATAACCCAAATACAGACCTGAAAATATTTCTCCATTTTTCAGATTTCAAAGGCATACACACTTGTTCCCTAGTGCTAGCTTATACACAAGAAAACATTCCATTACTGCTGTTGGTGCAAAAAGTGTCCTCATGTATTAGAGGTGTACCTGTAACCTAGCAGATATTATATACCGCAGAAGCATAAATACCAAAGATCAGAGGTCTGTGCTATTAAAACATAATTTAGTAAGGTAGGTCATGTAGCCTCACAGTGGCATCAATGACAGGAAATCTGCTATCAAGACAATAATTTAATTTTAAAACCCTTCTCAGTAGCAACTGTCCAAGAAAATCACTTGCTTGTTTTCAACACCGAGTTGAAGTTGGATTTAAAAACATTAAAGGCCAGACATCTTTGTTTTTATTTTACAGAAACTCTGCTTAAATATTGTTCTGACAAAGCTGTCTAGGTATGCTTGATGAAATATATAATCTGCAAGCTCAGAAATACATTTGGGAGACCCAGACTATTTCAAAGGAACTAAAAAATAATCTAAATCCAACCCCATCTTTTAGGCTTGGGCCATACACCTAACAATTAAGATGTACATACACAGAACTGAAAGGAAAAAGCCACTGGGTCAGTTGACACACTTTCGTCAGTTTTCCATTAACAGATCACTCCCCTCACAATTGTCTCAAAACCTTTAAGAGCATATTTATTCTTCCCCAGCTGGAGAGGCATTTTAGAACCCCAGCCTGACAGAACTACATATTTTTATTTCATTTTTAAAAATTTTATTTATAAATGGAAGTCTTCACTGTCTATTTTTTCTGAGTAGTTAAACAGTCTGTCTACCAGCTGCTGTTGTCTTGCATAGAAAGCACATTGTGTTCCCCTTTTCTTGGCACTGCCTATTCAAGCATGCTGGCCACAGCACTGAAAGCAGGGTCAAGAATTCCAGTCACCTCTTGGCCAGCAGATGCTTTTTTGCCTCTGTTGTGACCTGTGACATGACTGTTGCAGTAAACAAAGGGGTGAAGGGTTGTTAAAACATATCCTGAAAGCTGCATAGCTAGACTTTAGGCTATCTTGTACAATACAACTCCAGCAACATTTGTTTCAACAGCCTCAAGTACCTGTGCTGTTATTTATTATTTAGTGTGTCATAAATGTACTATATATGATACTTGATGCATTAGTACTGTTGAAAAGCAACAACTTCTTCATAATGCAGCACAGGCATGTATAGCAAAGATCTTAAAGAATTAGACTTTTGGCAGTATTTGAGTGGCACACAATGAAAGGGAAAAAGGTAGTACAGTGTAACAGAGACCATCCACTGACCATTTATTGATCTAAAAATTTATCCATGTGCACAAATAGCATTGTAATGTTTGAAGCAATACTGCTTCAAGGGTAACTGCAGTGATGTGCAAGCTGTTGCCAAAAGGGGCAAGTTTGCATTTTGACTCCTATTTTTTAGAGAAGGGTGTGAAAATCTGTTTGATTTCCAGGGATTAGTAGCAACTTTCCTAGAGAAAGAAACAGGCTTGTATTCTTCTGTCTACTGAAAAGGAGTGTTTATCTCCTCACTTACACATATTCTGAGTATCTGCATAATAAATTACAACCAACAGCTTAGCTGACGCTGTGTCACATCTGAAGAACAAAGACTACACACTGGTATTGCCTAGTGCCTTAATGGACACACAGTCATATGACCCATGCAGAACAGTTCCACCCATGACTGTTGCCCAGGAGAGGCCTTGGAAGGACTTACTGGAAGAAAAGGTAGCAACCTCTGAGCAATGTGTGCTGCTTTTATACCCCACATTCTCCTAGCATCACATCAGTTTCTCAGCTTCCTGAGTTCTAAGCATCTTTTCTTCTTGTATTAAGGAAACTGTGCAGTCAAGTGTAGTGTAGTTTCAGTTACTGCTTCAATCTAATCAGGTGAAACGAGTAACTCCTGGATTCACATTATTTGATAGTAGCAGTGTCCAAAATTACATTTCAATAAAGTTCACTGCATAAAAACTTAACTGTGGGAAGAAAAAATCATTTCAACTTAAACCAACTTCTATTTTAGTTCAGTGTTTGTATGGAAAAATAATTAAGCAGTCCACTTAGAAAGGCATAATCTGTTCACGAGCATACAGGTATCAGTTTTATCTTATGAGAATTTTTCCATGTTCCAGTTGCTTCATTCCTTATTACATGCTGCAAAAGGCAGTAATAATTTTTATAGCCAAATATCTCTTCATAAGATACCAGGTGGCTTTCAATATTTACTATTTAAGTCATGCATGAAATTTAAACATTACAAAAAATGACTTACCCGTTGACACTCCTGAAATATGCACATTTTCAGAATGTTCTGCAAGAGCACCATTTCCTAAAATTAAACATAATGAATAAGCTAATTTCCAAGATAAAATTTGTAAAAAAAATTCAGATACCCTTTTACAAAACAGAAAGAACAAAGCTCAAGTTATTTTAATTAATATTAAACATTAAAGGTCCTACATTCATTTTATGATAAAACTTAAGAGAAAAAAATAGAGAAAAAGTTACTAGACAATGAAAACAAAAACCAAGCATTGTTAGTGAAACAATTAAATATACTAGAAAGGAACAACAGCCTGATAGTAGCATGGAGTTCTGGGAAACTTGAGGCATTTTAGACAGTAGACTTTGCATGATTTTGCAAGTGCTATTTTCTTTCAAGAAAGGTTTATTTCAATGCATTTTCTCCATCTGCTCCAGGATTAAGATCTTTAAGTAAATGCTATGCAAATAAAGACATCCAGATGAAGACATCCATCTAAGTCTTAATTAACTGTAGCTGATAGCCTCTATCCAGAAATATGTATCATATATAGCCAGGAACTAGCTACGTACAATAGTAACTCCCCATCCATGGTCATAAAAATTTAGTTGAAAACATTAATAATGAGACCCATGTGGTCATCAACTGTTAGAGACAGTGTTATTCTTCCAAATCTCATCCCATTTTGTATTCCAGCAAAGTAAAAGATGTCTGCTAAAGCAAATATGTTTGCTTATAGGTGGTAGTCCCGTAAACGCTGTGACGTATCAAGATTTATTTCACAGAATGACAGTATTTGTGCACATTTGCCCCACTGAATAGGTCTCATCCACCCCTCAACATCTTTTCTTTGAACCTTTAAATTTTTTTTGTAATAAAATCTTCTGATTATTTCAGGAAGAGAGAGCTACTTCCACAAATAAGCTCCTTTGAACATAGGCAGTGAATCTAAGAGGTAAAATACATCACCAAGCAAATTTTAAAACCACAACTCTTAATCCATCAAAGTTTTGTAATACTGAAGATTTGTCATGTCACACAGATTATCATACATGTAAGATCAGTTCTTCTACTAGCACAGTAACATAAGTGTGGTATGTTTGGGTAACAGGTACCTTAAACACATGAAGAAAACTCAAATTTCTTTCATGCCAGATTTAAAGACTGTTAGAGTTGACCTAGAATATTCACAACTAAGCAAGCATCTCAATGCTCCTCCATTACAGTGGTTACAAGTAAAATGTTTCAGAAATTGCTCCCAGGGTTGACACCAAATGCACAAAGATAATTTTTCACTCCCTAAAGACACAATACAGTCAGAAACCTGATGATCAGAATTTGTAGGAAAACAGCAAGTTTAATTTTTCAATGTTGCAAAGATGTATTTTAAAACAAAAACTATTTCAAATACTGTATTAGTGAGTGAATATTTCCCAAACTATTTTCAAAAGTAAAATATATTATTAAGTTTTAAAAAGCTATTCTACAAATAATTTCTCCACTTTAAATAGAAACCCACATGCTAAGGGGTGTTTGCCACTCTGATTTCATGTTCTCAGTAACACTTAGCTCTAAATTTACAAAATAAACACCATCTTTGCCATGAAATTATTTTAATTGTACCTGATTTCAAAGAAGCACATTTCTGATTGTTTTCTACTGTTTCCATAAACATAAGGAAAACATTGACACATTTCAAGACCTCTGTTTTAAACTAAAAATAGCTTACTGATATTTCATATTTCAATTTACAGTAGGGATTATTCACCGTTTTTATAATTTCAAAAAGGGGTTATTAGCACATAAAACTATATATGTAGTTGTTACTGAACACTGAAAATTAATAGCATGACAAAAAAGGAATTTACAAACATTTAGAAATACTAAAAAACCCACAGTAATGACATTGAAGACAGTCAGTATCTGGGCAGTTCTGATAAAAATAAAATATCAAAACATGAAAATACTGACATAACACTGAAGTGATGGAAAGAAAAGCAAATAAAAATTTGAAAAAGTCCTATAAATCGGTAATAATGAGAAGCATACAAAAATGGGAACCACATCCAAATCCTATATAAATTGATAAAGAATTAATGGGTGAAATTAAGAAGAAAAATTAAGTCTATATAAAAAAATTGAATGCTTTAATATTTTCTATCTAAATATACTTTATGATCTAACAATTAATCTCTTGACATAAAGTGAGGTCACATTTATTGTCAAACTAACTTCAGTGACTGCTCAGAAGCAGCACCTACATGTGATGATGAGGTCTCATCTCAGATCCAAGTATTATTGTATCACAACAAGGTGATTTTTAAAAAATTATTTCCTTTCAAGTAATCCTTCATTATATGAAAGATAAACTTTAGAAGCCTTTCAGATTATTACTTTCTTTTTTTGTTGGAAACCATCACTGAAAATGAGTCTGTTCAGATACCATTTCAGTGTTACTAACTGCTGACACCTTTATGGAATTTTTAAGCATTGATTCTTATATGATCTCAACATTTATGCCACATGGCTCCATACAAACTGAGTCCAAAAGAATATAAATATATCAGATACCAGGTAAGTAATTTCCATCAAGATATGGAAACATTATTATCTTTGCAATTCCTGTTATTCTATTTAATACAGCAGAATATGAATAAACAAAAAAATGTTCTTAGGTCACAAGGAAGATTTCGTATTTCTTGATGTTTTAAAGAAATATGTAGTATTCATTTCCATTTGAACCTGAAATTTTAAACTGAAACAGGTGCCACTTAAAAAAACTTGACATAAAGTCTGCCCACATCAGTTACAGGAGCTGGCCAGAAGTGTGTTACAGCACAGTACTGGAAGGTGCACACTAAGAAGCTCCTGCATGAATCCATTCTGCCTGAAAGAAACCAAATTTGTTTTTCAAAAACTAACATCTTCCTTTGCCTCTTTTTTTTTTCTTGCTGACTTCTTTAACAAATCACTTGAACTATACCCATCTCCTTCATATCCTTTAAAAAAAAACAAATTGACAAATTTTAAGTGCTATTAAGCAGAAATATGTCAACTTTAGTCCTGCAGCATAAGATACGTTCAGCAACGGCATTTAAGTTAGATTCACATGCACAAGGCTCAAGATAAAAACAAGTGTTTATGTTTTTTCTAAAAAAAAAAAAAAAAAGATATCAAAATAGAATCTTTGCTAAATAAGAACTGAGATACATTAAACTACTAGTAGCCTGTAGGTTAACCAAAGCATGGCAAGCACTTTTAATGGCTTTCTATGTAAGTGCACATGAGCTTGTTGCCTAGAACTGATGGCAGTATCTCTAGATTCCTCGACTGCAATAAAAAAAAAAAAAAAATCAGCCAAAGAGTTATTGAATTACTTGACTCTTTATGAATGTGTTTACATGATGGAACAATGTCCAATTTCTGAGGTGTCTTTCTGTCATGCACAACTTCAAAAATCTCTTCAATGCTCAAAGTATGGTTGTGGTCAAAGTTGGTCACTGATTCTGACAAATTAATCCACAGGATTTTTATTTTGTTTCCACAACATAAAGCCAGTCCCTTTTGATCATTTTACCTATCCCACTCAGATACTCCAGTTTTAGATGCTATGTTATCCTAGGAGTAGGCAGAAACAGACAAATAGTGCCACAAACACTTGAATTAATTCCTTTTGATTTGTATCTCACAGCTGGCTGACCACAAAAGAAGGCAAGATGAGATTAGGTTTGCCTTCAGGTTTTCCAACAGTTGTGGCATTTCTCCCTATTATTCTATATGAAACTACACTGAATACACTTCACCCCACCCTGAAAAACCCTCACATCATCACTTCCAAACATCCTGGTTCAAGAGCCATGAGCCCTATACTCCTATATGGAGTCTGAAGAGGAGAACAAATCTATGTAGAAGAGAAAAACCATAGCCCTGGAAGGTATTTGACTTAACATCTGAGTTTCATCACAGACAGGAAAATAAACACAGGCCAGTGGAGGGCTGGCAACAAGGAAAACATTGCAGCAAACACACTAACCAAACTGCAGAGGAAAACTATAGAGTGAAAGTGTGGAAAATACAATGCTTTCACACTTGAAAAACCTGGTACATTTGGAAAAAGTAGTTGCCGAGTTCTACATATTAGAAGCTCAGAGAGTAGCAGTGATGCTCAGACTAATGTGTGGTGTCTATTCAGCTGCAGCCCTCATTTTAGAATGTTATTGCCGTGCATCCCCCCTTTCCCATAGCCTACAACAGCACAGGTCACTCTCAAAATGGGATCAGTATCACTCAAAGGATTACCTGCATATAACATAAGAGCATAAAACTAAGCCTTAGTCCTGAAATGAGCTTCACCTTTTAAAGTTTTACTTAAATCCATGCTGTTTCCAAAAAACATAGCCAGACGCCCCCTCCCCTGAATTATTAAGTGTCCCTTATTCTAAACATTCAGATTAAACAAGACAAGCTTCTGCATTCCAGATACATGAACTTGGAGGTTTCAGACAAAGAACAAGAACTCTACCTAAATATTGATATATTTGAGATACCAAAATCTTAATGAAAACGCCATTTTAATTTCAATCTGATTAAAACTAGTAATACAAGCACACAGCAAAGTGACGAATATTGTAAAAGTGCACCCAAAAATTTGGTACATGGTCAAATCAAATGTTGTTAGTTCAGTTTGGAAGAACATAATGTATTTTAGGACTCAGTTAAATCTAAATTGTTTTATAGAGAAATTAACTTGACTGTTGAAATGAAAAATGAAAAGAAAAAAATAATTCATAGTGGTGAACACCACATTTAAGTTACAGTTTATTTTTGCTGTTAGACCAAGTAGTTACTGCTACTTATGTTATTCATGCACACAGATCTCCACTGAAGCTAAATTATTCTATACCAAGATTAAACCTCTGCCATCAGCTTTAACAGCCAAATTACAACCCTCCAGAAACAGAAAGACATTAAGTGAGGAACTTCTGTAACCGACTCTGAAGAGAGCTTTTTCTAAACTACCTTAAGTTAAAAGGTACCGTGCTGCACAATGAATGCTACAAAAACAG